CGTCCTGGGGGACTACTGACCCAGTAGTGGAACACGACAGGTCGTCCTGGGGGACTACTGACCCAGTAGTGGAACACGACAGGTCGTCCTGGGGGACTACTGGTCCAGTAGTGGAACACGACAGGTCGTCCTGGGGGACTAGTGGACCACTAGTGGAACACGACAGGTCGTCCTGGGGGACTAGTGGTCCAGTAGTGGACACAACAGGTCGTCCTGGGGGACTACTGACCCAGTAGTGGAACACGACAGGTCGTCCTGGGGGACTAGTGGTCCAGTAGTGGACACGACAGGTCGTCCTGGGGGACTACTGGTCCAGTATTGGAACACGACAGGTCGTTCTGGGGGACTAGTGGTCCAGTAGTGAACACGACAGGTCGTCCTGGGGGACTACTGACCCAGTAGTGGAACACGACAGGTCGTCCTGGGGGACTACTGACCCAGTAGTGGAACACGACAGGTCGTCCTGGGGGACTACTGACCCAGTAGTGGAACACGACAGGTCGTCCTGGGGGACTACTGGTCCAGTAGTGGAACACGACAGGTCGTCCTGGGAGACTAGTGGACCACTAGTGGAACACGACAGGTCGTCCTGGGGGACTAGTGGTCCAGTAGTGGACACAACAGGTCGTCCTGGGGGACTACTGACCCAGTAGTGGAACACGACAGGTCGTCCTGGGGGACTACTGGTCCAGTAGTGGAACACGACAGGTCGTCCTCGGGGACTAGTGGTCCAGTAGTGAACACGACAGGTCGTCCTGGGGGACTACTGACCCAGTAGTGGAACACGACAGGTCGTCCAGGGGGACTACTGACCCAGTAGTGGAACACGACAGGTCGTCCAAGGGGACTACTGACCCAGTAGTGGAACACGACAGGTCGTCCAGGGGGACTACTGGTCCAGTAGTGGACACGACAGGTCGTTCTGGGGGACTAGTGGAACACTAGTGGACATGACAGGTCGTCCTGGGGGACTATACTGACCCAGTAGTGGAACACGACAGGTCGTCCAGGGGGACTACTGACCCAGTAGTAGAACACGACAGGTCGTCCAGGGGGACTACTGACCCAGTAGTGGAACACGACAGGTCGTTCTGGGGGACTAGTGGAACACTAGTGGACACGACAGGTCGTCCTGGGGGACTATACTGACCCAGTAGTGGAACACGACAGGTCGTCCAGGGGGACTACTGACCCAGTAGTAGAACACGACAGGTCGTCCAGGGGGACTACTGACCCAGTAGTGGAACACGACAGGTCGTTCTGGGGGACTAGTGGAACACTAGTGGACACGACAGGTCGTCCTGGGGGACTACTGACCCAGTAGTGGAACACGACAGGTCGTCCTGGGGGACTAGTGGTCCAGTAGTGAACACGACAGGTCGTCCAGGGGGACTACTGACCCAGTAGTGGAACACGACAGGTCGTCCTGGGGGACTACTGGTCCAATAGTGGACACGACAGGTCGTTCTGGGGGACTAGTGGAACACTAGTGGACACGACAGGTCGTCCTGGGGGACTACTGACCCAGTAGTGGAACACGACAGGTCGTCCAGGGGGACTACTGACCCAGTAGTGGAACACGACAGGTCGTCCAAGGGGACTACTGACCCAGTAGTGGAACACGACAGGTCGTCCAGGGGGACTACTGGTCCAGTAGTGGACACGACAGGTCGTTCTGGGGGACTAGTGGAACACTAGTGGACATGACAGGTCGTCCTAGGGGACTAGTGGAACACTAGTGGACACGACAGGTCGTCCTGGGGGACTATACTGACCCAGTAGTGGAACACGACAGGTCGTCCAGGGGGACTACTGACCCAGTAGTAGAACACGACAGGTCGTCCAGGGGGACTACTGACCCAGTAGTGGAACACGACAGGTCGTCCACCTCACCCACGTGCCTCAAACTCTCACAATAACTGCGTCAACACATGTGCTTTTGTCTACCTAACAGCCCAATTACCCTGGCTGCCTAGGACTAATGACCCGTCCTGGACCACTTGTTGGACCCACTCGTGGTCCAGGACGGACCGGTGGACCGACACGTTGTCATGGGGGACTCACCTGCAGGGGTACACGTCATGGGGGACTCACCTGCAGGGGTACACGTCATGGGGGACTCACCTGCAGGGGTACACGTCATGGGGGACTCGCCTGCAGGGGTACACGTCATGGGGGACTCACCTGCAGGGGTACACGTCATGGAGGACTCACCTGCAGGGGTACACGTCATGGGGGACTCACCTGCAGGGGTACACGTCATGGGGGACTCACCTGCAGGGGTACACGTCATGGGGGACTCACCTGCAGGGGTACACGTCATGGGGGACTCACCTGCAGGGGTACACGTCATGGGGGACTCACCTGCAGGGGTACACGTCATGGGGGACTCACCTGCAGGGGTACACGTCATGGGGGACTCACCTGCAGGGGTACACGTCATGGGGGACTCACCTGCAGGGGTACACGTCATGGGGGACTCACCTGCAGGGGTACACGTCATGGGGGACTCACCTGCAGGGGTACACGTCATGGGGGACTCACCTGCAGGGGTACACGTCATGGGGGACTCACCTGCAGGGGTACACGTCATGGGGGACTCACCTGCAGGGGTACACGTCATGGGGGACTCACCTGCAGGGGTACACGTCATGGGGGACTCACCTGCAGGGGTACACGTCATAGGGGACTCACCTGCAGGGGTACACGTCATAGGGGACTCACCTGCAGGGGTACACGTCATGGGGGACTCACCTGCAGGGGTACACGTCATGGGGGACTCACCTGCAGGGGTGCACGTCATGGGGACTCACCTGCAGGGGTACACGTCATGGGGGACTCACCTGCAGGGGTACACGTCATGGGGGACTCACCTGCAGGGGTACACGTCATGGGGGGCTCACCTGCAGGGGTAGGGGCAGGGGTACACGTCAAGGGGGACTCACCTCCAGGGGTACACCTCAAGGGGACTCACCTGCAGGGGTACACGTCATGGGGGACTCACCTGTAGGGGTACACGTCATGGGGGACTCACCTGCAGGGGTACACGTCATGGGGGACTCACCTGAAGGGGTACACGTCATGGGGGACTCACCTGCAGGGGTACACGTCATGGGGGACTCACCTGTAGGGGTACACGTCATGGGGGACTCACCTGCAGGGGTACACGTCAAGGGGGACTCACCTGCAGGGGTACACGTCAAGGGGACTCACCTGCAGGGGTACACGTCAAGGGGGACTCACCTCCAGGGGTACACGTCAAGGGGGACTCACCTCCAGGGGTACACGTCAAGGGGAACTCACCTCCAGGGGTACACGTCAAGGGGGACTCACCTCCAGGGGTACACGTCAAGGGGGACTCACCTCCAGGGGTACACGTCAAGGGGACTCACCTGCAGGGGTACACGTCAAGGGGGACTCACCTCCAGGGGTACACGTCAAGGGGGACTCACCTGCAGGGGTACACGTCATGGGGACTCACCTGCAGGGGTACACGTCAAGGGGACTCACCTGCAGGGGTACACGTCAAGGGGAACTCACCTCCAGGGGTACACGTCAAGGGGACTCACCTGCAGGGGTACACGTCAAGGGGGACTCACCTCCAGGGGTACACGTCAAGGGGACTCACCTGCAGGGGTACACGTCATGGGGGACTCACCTGCAGGGGTACACGTCAAGGGGGACTCACCTCCAGGGGTACACGTCAAGGGGACTCACCTGCAGGGGTACACGTCATGGGGGACTCACCTGCAGGGGTACACGTCATGGGGGAGTCACCTGCAGGGGTACACGTCATGGGGGAGTCACCTGTAGGGGTACACGTCATGGGGACTCACCTGCAGGGGTACACGTCAAGGGGGACTCACCTGCAGGGGTACACGTCATGGGGACTCACCTGCAGGGGTAGGGGCAGGGGTACACGTCAAGGGGGACTCACCTCCAGGGGTACACGTCAAGGGGACTCACCTGCAGGGAACACGTCAGGGGGACACACCTGCAGGGGAACACGTCAGGGGGACTCACCTGCAGGGGTACACGTCATGGGGGACTCACCTGCAGGGGTACATGTCAGGGGGACTCACCTGCAGGAGAACACGTCACGGGGACTCACCTGCAGGGGAACACGTCATGGGGACTCACCTGCAGGGGAACACGTCACGGGGACTCACCTGCAGGGGTAGGGGCAGGGGTACACGTCATGGGGGACTCACCTGCAGGGGTACACGTCAAGGGGGACTCACCTGCAGGGGTTCACGTCATGGGGACTCACCTGCAGGGGTACACGTCATGGGGGACTCACCTGCAGGGGTACACGTCACGGGGGACTCACCTGCAGGGGTACACGTCACGGGGGACTCACCTGCAGGGGAACACGTCACTGGGGACTCACCTGCAGGGGAACACGTCACGGGGACTCACCTGCAGGGGAACACGTCACGGGGACTCACCTGCAGGGGTAGGGGCAGGGGTACACGTCATGGGGGACTCACCTGCAGGGGTACACGTCAAGGGGGACTCACCTGCAGGGGTTCACGTCATGGGGACTCACCTGCAGGGGTACACGTCACGGGGGACTCACCTGCAGGGGAACACGTCACGGGGACTCACCTGCAGGGGAACACGTCACGGGGACTCACCTGCAGGGGAACACGTCACGGGGACTCACCTGCAGGGGAACACGTCACGGGGACTCACCTGCAGGGGAACACGTCACGGGGACTCACCTGCAGGGGTAGGGGCAGGGGTACACGTCATGGGGGACTCACCTGCAGGGGTACACGTCAAGGGGGACTCACCTGCAGGGGTTCACGTCATGGGGACTCACCTGCAGGGGTACACGTCACGGGGGACTCACCTGCAGGGGAACACGTCACGGGGACTCACCTGCAGGGGAACACGTCACGGGGACTCACCTGCAGGGGAACACGTCACGGGGACTCACCTGCAGGGGAACACGTCACGGGGACTCACCTGCAGGGGAACACGTCACGGGGACTCACCTGCAGGGGAAGGAGGCAGAGAGCAGTGAGAGGTGAGAGTTGGACGACTTGGGAGAGCGGTCGTCCTCACGGCGCGTCGTCAGGTCACCATTGGGAGCCGGATGTGGGTCGTGGCCGGCGTGGCCCGGGTGCTGCAGGTGGGCCGGATGGTGGTGGACCGGTCCGTGGCCCGCCGGGTGGGTGGCCAGGGGAGGGAAGCAGGGGTGCAGGGGGTGTGGGGTGGCCAGGGGCTGGCCAGGAGCCCGCAGGCGGCCAGCTGGGCGGCCCTCCATAATGGCCGCCGCCTTACTCCTCCCGCCTCACCTGGAATGACACCACATACGTCACCACATGGGCACAACATGACCACATACGTCACACATGTGTAATGGTATGTGCAGACCATAGCTCCTTCCCCTTCCCTCACTTGCCTTCCCTCCCTTAGGTCATCCCTCCCATTAGTCACGGTCTGACCCTTGTGGTCATAAACAGTGTGAAGTCACTTGCTCCCCTCTCTCTCCTGTCCATCTGTCCAGTGATGAATAGGAAAGAGTACCTCAGGGCCAATAAACTTGTGTTCTCAAGTTACACGTGGGTGATGGTACTGTGCTAGTTACTGGAGTTTTCTGTCAAGAGTAATTGACCCTTATGTTCAAGCCTGGTTGTGATTGGTTGAAGCCATGGAGGCTTGTGGAGGCGGAGTCCGCAGAGGGTAGTGCCTGTCCATGCCATTGGCCAAGCTTCTAGATCAGCCAGTTGTGTTTAAATCCATTGGCCATAGGCTTCGGATAGGCGGAGTTAAAGTGGGCCTAGGAACTAGCGGGTGGAGCCGTTCCCACTGGCAAGCGTTTTTAGGAAATATTCAACCCGTTCTCGCAAATTCGTAAAGTCAATATTGACTTATTAACTACGTGCATAGGTGACATACTTCACATAATAGATACCCTTAAAAAGATTCATAGAAAACACCGACCTTACCTAACCTTGTTAGTATCTTAAGATAAGCATCTTATTGCTTCGTAATTACAATTATTACTTAACCTATACCTATTATAGGTTAGGTAATAATTGTAATTACGAAGCAATAACATGCTTATCTTAACATACTAAGTAGGTTAGGTAAGGTCGGTGTTTTCTATGAAGCTTTTCAAGGGAAACTATTAAGTTAAGTATGTCACCTATGCACATATTTAATAAGTCAATATTGACTTATTAAATTTGCGAGAACGGGTTGAAATATTAGTGTGTCTTGGGGCCCTCACCTGAGGTACAGGTCAGTGACCTGCGGGCAGCCGATCAACATCCTTTGGCAAGCTGCAGTATTGAACGTAATTGTGCTCTAGAGATTTCGTGTATCTTGAGGTTATCTTGAGATGATTTCGGGGCTTTTTAGTGTCCCCGCGGCCCGGTCCTCAACCAGGCCTCCAACCCCAGGAAGCAGCCCGTGACAGCTGACTTAACACCCAGGTACCTATTTTACTGCTAGGTAACAGGGGCATAGGGTGAAAGAAACTCTGCCCATTGTTTCTCGCCGGCGCCTGGGATCGAACCTTTGACCACAGGATCACAAGTCCAGCGTGCTGTCCGCTCGGCCAACCGGCTCCCTATGTATATTTCAGTATTACATTCCATTTTGCCTCTAGGGATAATAGAGTAGGGTATATGTTCAGTTGATTTTAATTTACATGTTTAATAAGAATAAAGTGTATAAATTGTTCCAGAGGTATATGGAAAGTTCCCGTGTTCTCCTGTGGGGCCGGCCGGGAGCCGGGAGCCGGTCCACCGAGCGGACAGCACACTGGACTTGTGATCCTGTGGTCCCGGGTTCGATCCCAGGCGCCGGCGAGAAACAATGGGCAGAGTTTCTTTCACCCTATGCCCCTGTTACCTAGCAGTAAAATAGGTACCTGGGTGTTAGTCAGCTGTCACGGACTGCTTCCTGGGGGTGGAGGCCTGATCGAGGACCGGGCCGCGGGGACACTAAAGCCCCGAAATCATCTCAAGATAACCTCAAGATGACCTCCTCCATCTTATGAATCATGCAGATCGGCGTTCAATCCCCGACCGTCCAATTGCTTGGGCACCATTCCCTACTCTCCCCCCATCCCCAAATCCTTATCCTGACCCCTTCCAAGTGCTATATAGTCGTAATGGCTTGGCGCTTTCCCCCCGATAGTTAAATCCATCTTACGAATATTAAAGTGGCTCTTGAATCCGCTCTTGAGTTGGATTACAGTATTAATCCATTAAGATATATCTACGTGCCCCCTTTGAGTTCCAGGATTATTGAGTCCCTTCGACCTGAGGAAACAATAATTTAGACAATTATGGTTGGGAAGGTGGTGGCAGTGCTTTAATGATTTTAATCATTAGTTATAAATTAACCCTTGTTCTTGCCGTGTCTTCCTCGTTTAATATACAGCTTATATTCGTGGCTGTTCAGTGAGGGGTCACACTGGACTGTAACAGTGTCCGTCAGTGTATATATATATGTCAACTCCATATATAGAGGTTGTTCTTGTTGTTAAAGATTCGCTACCTGGAACAAAACCTTCCAAGTAGCACGGGCTATGGTGAGCCCGTAGTGCCTTTTTTGATATAGAGGTGTATGGAGGCCCGTGTGGAATATTACCACGCTCTCTGGTGCGCGGGGCCGGGCTGGGGTCTGCCTCTTACATCATTGTGATACAAAATGCTGTTGAATGCTGGGTAGGAGGATAGAGGGAAGGGGGGGGGGGTAGTGTGTGTGGGGAGGGGGGGGAAAGGTCTTTGATGAGAAGTTCAACTTTAGATTGGAAATGTTATTGAGAAGAGTTTCGAGGGGCGGGGGTCGCGCCCCCCCCCCATAATGTGGGGGTCGTGCCCCCCATAATGTGGGGGTCGTGCTTCCCATAATGTGGGGGTCGCGCCCCCCATAATGTGGGGGTCGTGCTTCCCATAATGTGGGGGTCGCGCCCCCCATAATGTGGGGGTCGTGCTTCCCATAATGTGGGGGTCGCGCCCCCCATAATGTGGGGGTCGCGCCCCCCCCCCCATAATGTGGGGGTCGCGCCCCCCCATAATGTGGGGGTCGTGCCCCCCATAATGTGGGGGTCGTGCTTCCCATAATGTGGGGGTCGCGCCCCCCCATAATGTGGGGGTCGCGCCCCCCCCCCATAATGTGGGGGTCGCGCCCCCCCCCCCATAATGTGGGGGTCGTGCCCCCCATAATGTGGGGGTCGTGCTTCCCATAATGTGGGGGTCGCGCCCCCCCATAATGTGGGGGTCACTGACCTGGCTCACTGTTAACCTCCCCTTACTGACGACCTGGAAGATCCTCCCCCTTTCTGACGAACTGGAAGATCCTCCCCCTTACTGACGACCTGGAAGATCCTCCCCCTTACTGACGACCTGGAAGAGCCTCCCCCTTACTGACGACCTGGAAGAGCCTCCCCCTTACTGACGACCTGGAAGAGCCTCCCCCTTACTGACGACCTGGAAGATCCTCCCCCTTACTGACGACCTGGAAGATCCTCCCCCTTACTGACGACCTGGAAGAGCCTCCCCCTAACTGACGACCTGGAAGATCCTCCCCCTTACTGACGACCTGGAAGATCCTCCCCCCTTACTGACGACCTGGAAGATCCTCCCCCTTACTGACGACCTGGAAGATCCTCCCCCCTTACTGACGACCTGGAAAATCCTCTCCCCTTACTGACGACCTGGAAGATCCTCCCCCTTACTGACGACCTGGAAGAGCCTCCCCCTTACTGACGACCTGGAAGAGCCTCCCCCTTACTGACGACCTGGAAGATCCTCCCCCCTTACTGACGACCTGGAAGATCCTCCCCCCTTACTGACGACCTGGAAGATCCCCCCCTTACTGACGACCTGGAAGATCCCCCCCCTTACTGACGACCTGGAAGATTAATTAAAGGACCTAATTAGAGGGCAAATCTTTCGTGGTCCACTAGTTACACTGTTGTTCCTTAATAGAGATTTTAATAACGTTAATCTTACTTTCCCCTAACTTACCTTCCCCTCTCTCCCCTCCAGCCCCTTCCCCTCCCTTCACCTGCCCCTTCTCTCTCCCTCCAGCCCCTTCCCCCTCCCTTCACCTGCCCCTTCTCTCTCCCTCCAGCCCCTTCCGCCTCCCTTCACCTGCCCCTTCTCTCTCCCATCTCCTCTACTTCTTTCCAGTACACCCACACAACTGTCAATCAACAGGTGTACAGGTTCCTGAGCCTATTGGGCTCTATCATATCTACACTTGAAACTGTGTATGGAGTCAGCCTCCACCACATCACCCCCTAATGCATTCCATTTGTCAACCACTCTGACACTAAAAAAGTTCTTTCTAATATCTCTGTGGCTCATTTGGACACTCAGTTTCCACCTGTGTCTCCTAGTGCGTGTTCCCCTTGTGTTAAACAGCCTGTCTTTATCTACCCTGTTAATTCCCTTGAGGATCTTTAATGTGGTGATCATGTCCCCCCTAAGTCTTCTGTCTTCTGTCAGTGTGTGTGTGTGTGTGTGAGAGTGTGTGTGAGAGTGTGTGTGAGAGTGTGTGTGTGTGAGAGTGTGTGTGTGTGAGAGTGTGTGTGAGTGTGTGTGTGTGTGTGTGTGTGTGTGTGTGTGTGTGTGTGTGTGTGTGTGTGTGTGTGTGTGTGTGTGTGTGTGTGTGTGTGTGTGTGTGTGTGTGTGTGTGTGTGAGAGTGTGTGTGTGTGAGAGTGTGTGTGAGAGTGTGTGTGTGAGAGTGTGTGTGTGTGAGAGTGTGTGTGTGTGAGAGTGTGTGTGTGTGAGAGTGTGTGTGTGTGAGAGTGTGTGTGTGAGAGTGTGTGTGTGTGTGTGTGTGTGTGTGTGTGTGTGTGTGTGAGAGTGTGTGTGTGAGAGTGTGTGTGTGAGAGTGTGTGTGTGTGTGTGTGTGTGTGTGTGTGTGTGTGTGTGTGTGTGTGTGTGTGTGTGTGTGTGTGTGTGTGTGTGTGTGTGTGTGTGTGTGTGTGTGTACTCACCTATATGTACTCACCTATATGTGCTTGCAGGATCGAGCATTGACTCTTGGATCCCGCCTTTCTAGCTATCGGTTGTTTACAGCAATGACTCCTGTCCCATTTCCCTATCATACCTAGTTTTAAAAGTATGAATAGTATTTGCTTCCACAACCTGTTCCCCAAGTGCATTCCATTTTTCCACTACTCTCACGCTAAAAGAAAACTTCCTAACATCTCTGTGACTCATCTGAGTTTCCAGTTTCCACCCATGTCCCCTCGTTCTGTTATTATTACGTGTGAACATTTCATCTATTTCCACTTTGTCAATTCCCCTGAGTATTTTATATG